TTAGCCCCAGCCTATATTTTAATTGCATCCTTGTGAGAGATTCTGTGTCAGAGGCACCCAGCTAAGCCACATTCAGATTCCTGACCCACCCAAATTGTGAGATAATACATGTTTGTTATTTTAAGCTGCTTTTATTTTGGAGTGTATTGTTATGCATCAGTAGATAATCAATATATATATAATCAGAGAATTCATGTGAAGAGCAATATACATGTTCAAAAAACATTTTAAAACAATTTATCTAGTGAAATGCAAATGAAAACCTGGAGATACACTATTTTAGATGGAAAAAAGACAAGTTGCAGAACAACAGGGATAATGTGATTCTAATATTGAAAACAAGTATGTGTGTTTTGTGTACCTGTGACTATATAACAATTAACCTACAAAGAAGCACATCTGGCAAACATGCAACAGTCTATTGATAGTGGACACCTTTGGTTCAGATGGTGGAAATCAGGCAGGAGTGAGATTCAAGGTGATTTCATTTTGTAAATATATTATATATATTTATAAATGTAAATATGTAAATTTATGCATAATATATAAATAAATATATAAATTTATAAATTTAATATATAGAATATATCTTGTATGAAGATAATTTAAAAACAGAAATTACATTTAAAGAGATTAAGAAATGATTTGCTAATGATTTTGTTCTTGTGGAAATATATGCAAAGAACACCATTTTATAGGGAAAAGAAGTCTATTAAAATTTTTGACAATGGATCTGTATGTTTGAGTGTACATCAGTGTGTGCTTCTGTTGTTGAACCTTGACATTATCTGTGTGATTCTGTGTCTCAAACTCTATCACCCTAAATATTCATGGGCTCTGTAGCTATGCTGATTGGAGTCAAATCCACAATGTGTCATTTTCTAAGTATGCAAGCTTAGGCAAAGTACTTAACCTCCCTGTCCCTCATTTTCTTCCTCTGTAAAATGAGGATGAACAACCTCATGGTGTAGTTATAAGAATTAAATGTGGTTACCTGACCCAAAGCAAATGTTAGCTAATTTTAATACTTTTATTTTTAATGGGCATTAGTATTCTTGCAAGTCCTAAAATCTATGATGTAAATGACTGCTTATTGACATTCAGTATATACTACTAGTGAATAAGAGCAGGTTACACTATTATAAGGAGGAAAATACCTTATTTTTTAAAATAAATATTATGACTGTACTTGCAGAGCCAAAGCAGCAAAAATGGTAAATGACTGGATAAAATCCAGTTTTACTGGGCTACAATCAAAGGTTGGCAGGGCTGTGCTCCCTCTGGAACCTCTAGGGGAGAATCCATTTTCTTGCCTTTTCCAGCTTCTAGAGCCCCATTCCTTGCATTGTTTGGCTCATGGCTCTTTCCTCTGTCCTTGAAGCCAGCAGCTTAGCATCTTGCCTCAGTTGTCACATTGCCTTCTTCTGTAGTAAAATCTCCCTCTGTCTCCCTCTTATAAGGACACTTGTAATTGTATTTATGCCCCATCTGGATAACCCAGAATATTCTCCCCATCTCAAAATTGTTAATCACATTTGCAAAGTCTCCTCCCTAATTCAACATAATTAACATATCCCTTTCAAGGACAACATGCAGGATACTCATTGTTAAAATGAAGTAAACACACAGGAGCAGCTAGAGAGCTAGCTCCTTTTTGTCTTAAATGGTAGTGAGAAAAACATTTGATGCTGCTACCTCTGCTGGTTACACGTGCTTAGCTAGTTGGGCCATGACCCATGCCAAGGACATCCAAAATTCGTGCAAGTGCGATCCCACCAAACAATAAGATCAGAGAAAAACATGGTACATTATAAGTTAAATGTATGTGAAATATGTGTGGGAAGTAAAGCTGAGCTGTCCTGTTGTGGAGCATGAACATTCTTAGTACAGTGGTTTTGTAATTTATTATACAGTGTAAATCTACATCTATATTTTATTGTTGGAATGATTCTTTAATTTTTCAATAAGAAACAAAAGTGCATATTGAATGGAAAATTAAGTAACAAATTTCATTTTCTTAAGAAAGCTGATGAAAAACATTTAGCTTGCACAAAATGTTTGCTGACATTTACTATGCACCAAGAGGACTGTAGTGATATTATTCACCTCATGAAAACCAAAATCTACAAACCAGCTGAAGAAACATTTGCATCTACATCAGAAGGTGGTAGTTATTTTAAGAAGAATGTGTCAATTTAGTACATACGGATGCAGAAGTCATGTTGACTTCTCGTTCTATGAGCAGATTTTCCAATTTAAATCAAATTATTTTTCTTCTAATTTAATTACACAAATTTTGAATTCCAAGTTTCTGTGTGCTTGTTCAAAAATAGGAGTGATAGCGGGGCCGGCCCCGTGGCTTAGCGGTTAAGTGCGCGCGCTCCGCTACTGGCGGCCCAGGTTCAGATCCCGGGCGCGCACCAACGCACCGCTTCTCCGGCCATGCTGAGGCCGCGTCCCACATACAGCAACTAGAGGGATG